CTGACAGTCTGGAATCTCTGATCCCATTCCTCTCCTTGAGAGCACATGGCAAAAAGAAGTCATGCAAAAAAGGGGGGAAATCACATCAGGCATTTTAACGACAAGTTCTATTGCTCCTATGTTAATATCTCCAAGAGGCACACTTGTGTTTCCATACTGAAGAATCCAGGTACAATTAAGAGAAAATATGCTATCAACCCTGCAGTAACCAGAACATTGAAGCCAAACCAATCTGTGCCCATGTCATTGCTTCTCTGTATGGCGATAGGAATTCCTGGTCAGGCTATTCCAGCTATTTTTTCACTAACATGTATTGGTGAGGGTCATATATAGGATCATCTGTGCTTCTATATTTACCGTTGCCGTATCTCAGCAAAGACTGGTGAAAGCAAATGATTTGTGACGAAATTACTGAAACATTAACTGTTGTCCTTGTGAATAAAACAGCAAGGACTTTATGATGGTCTCGATGTGATACTGTAATTTCAGTCTCGCTCTGGGACGGAGAGGAGAAAGTTATTCTGGCGGCTTTAACACAACTGCAATCCTTCAAAAGTTAACCCCCCTGAGCTTACCTATATCGCTTCACAACTGCATCCCCACTATGCTGCCATGAAGCTAGACGGCACTTTAAGGTCATTTTCCCCATGTCTAATTTTACCCTTGGGTAAGCTCGAGTAGAGAGTATAAGAGCAGCCATCATTTTAAACACTTGTTTCAGGCGCTATTTCTTTCTCAGTTTATGTGCCTTCATTCTGAAGTGATGGAGTGCTAATGAATAGACAGGCAGATGCGTTTTGACTGAGGTCTTATGAGGCTTTCTCGAAGGCCTCGTGTCTGACACATTACTTTGCCTGAACCCATATTGAGGGAAAGCGGGGCAGGGTGCACAGCCAGACTCATGGGTATCAGTTAATTTAAAGGAATCGGAAAGATCCCTGCGTGCCATCGGGTGGCTGTTTGATAGACACTGCTGAGACTAAATGCGAGCTAATGAGCTGTAATGAATGCTAATCTTTTTCGAACAAAACATGGCTGTTTCAGTGGTGTGCTAAATGCAGTGTTAGTGCTCGAGTTAGTGGTCACTACTCAGCTACTTACTAAACCTTTTTTTACATTTCCACTAATGAACGGAAAACTGTGGTCAGTTGATTGAGGGTGTTCTAATGATAAAGTCTCCGTGCGAACACAGCCTGTGGGGAGCCAATCAACAGATCCAGGCAAGAGGGAATAACAAAGCCCAGAGCTGGAGGTGTTGGTTCACAGAATGAACAACAGTGCACCATGGTTCTGTTATCGCATGACTCACTCCTGAAATAGCAGGCTGAGGCCGCCTGCCTCCTGAACTCTTCTAGCTCTGTCTCCTTGCTGGTAGAGCCAGCCGTGGTCTCATATACAACCCTCAAGTGCCACATCGAGAGCTCTCCCCTCCATCAACCTGCTATGATATCTACACTTTCAACTTTTTGACCCCCAACAAAGGGTAGATAGTAAATATGAAAGTAACTCACCAATAAGGCCCACACAATGGCTTGCTGGTGTGAAGAGCTGTGTCAACCAGTGGCTTTTGCCCACAAGGGGAGAACATTCTTCACACCTGTCTGCAAGGATAAGTGGGCTTGTCAGGAGCAGAGCTAATCTGTTGCAACGCTCAGTCACACTCGATCCACCAGTGGTACTCTCCGCTTGCCCTTGAATGTCTGCTGGCATTGGAAGCATACTTGAGCCGCTGATCAGTGTAACCATGGTGGAAAACATGTCAATGAACGGCAGCAACATCTTTTCTCCTGGCAGACAGCTGAGAGAACTTTTGCCCTTTACAGTTTACACTTTTTCATGCCCTTTAGGCATCGCATGAACAAGATCTAAGCTAAGATAGATGCCACGTGCCATGTGTGTGTGGGTCATTAGCTAATATTACACCATTCACAAACGATGTTAATTGTTGCTCAAGAAGAGGAATTAATGCAATTAAAAAAGTACTTTATCCCTAAGGCCATCAATACTTAGTGAGACTCAAGAGAGAGAAACAGTGAAGAGAGCTATCAGAGACATAAGGAGTGCTGTGTTACAACTTGGACAGCTTTCAGAACAAGTGGGCATACTGATGTGCAATCACTTCCCTATTCACTGGTGGAAACGATCCACAGGAGCACAGCATGATGCCATCAGTGTCATCGAACATTTTAAGTTCTTTATTGTGTAAACGCTGGATAATAACAATATTAACAATAATTACTGTGAAATAGTCCAAAGAGGTAGGACATGTCATTTTTGCAAATTCTTTGCTGGTTAGTTTTAGCTACCAATCATGCATAGTTGTAGAATACATGCTGTGCAGTTAGAGGTTATCAGATGTATTAAGTATTACAGACAGGCAATAATGTAGCATTGATTTACTCAAAAGTTTTCAGAGTCTGCTAACATGATCATATTGCAGAGAAAGCAATTAAAGCCAATGGAAAAGACAAATTAGCATGGTTTGCAGAATAGGTATATTTGATCCTTATAAATGGGATAAAATCATGCAAGAGCATTGACACAGTCCTTTAAATTGTAATTGCAAAAATCCCAAAGATCTTTCTCGCTTATATATATATTGTGCTCCTTCGACATTGAGAAATTGCCACAAAAGTAGTGTGTAGGATGGGAGGTGCTGTATCATCTTATTAATTCTGCCTGTCCTTCATGGATCAGGAAGAAACAACCTTTTTGATACAATGAGGCTCTCTAAGCCTCTTTGGTCAGAGAAGTAGCATCACAATTTTGTTTTCCATGCTTTTCCCTTTTGATGTGGGAGATGGATAAAGAGTTGCTCTCTACTATGGATACTGAGTTCTTGCTTAGGAAGAAAGTTATCCGTGACTTGCCAAGATCAAAGGATTGAAATAATGAAGAAACAGTGTTCTTGTTTTAAGGAGAAATTTCTTTTTTAAGCTGGTTTGATATCGTAGCTGAATAATGCAATTATTTTTCGCAAACTATTGTGTTCTTGAAAAAAGTAGTGAGGAAAGTGGGACAGCAAAATGGGACGTTAGGGACGGCACGTGTCGAATGTATTTGAATAAATATAAAATACTCATTAGAGAAAATGTTGACGCCTGTCATTGTAAATGTAAAATCCAATAACTTAAAAGACTGATGTCTTCTGGATCACATCAATATTCACGAATATTCAGATGAATATTGTGGTTACTATTAATATAATGCCATTAGGTTTTGATCATGAGATCATATACCCATCTTTTAACCCGAAGTTTCAATATGTAATGAATGTTCACTAAATTGCGATTACTTATACTGGAGAATAAAGTGTCCCCAGGTCAATGATGGTCTAACTCTTCAACTGATGGGTCATAAAAGCTTTAATGTCGTAGAAAACACACATTACTGTGGCTTCATGAACACACTGTGAACACACCGTAAGGGAAAAACTAAAATAAAAGCCAACCATCTTTAATATCTGGACAGCATTTAGCACTGTGGCCTTATAATATCAATAATATTCATAAAACACATATCTAACGCTGACAAACCTTGTGCCCTTATCATACATGTGCTAAACAAACAAGTACGACATTTACCTTCATGTGGAAGATACACTTTCACCGTCTTTCATCTCTTGTTTTATCGTGCGTCTTCCACTTCCAACAGCATTTCAACTGCAAAATAAAATCTGTAGCGTACCATTCTAAAGGTCATTTACAGGGACTAACAAAGTGGTCAATATTTTGCTTCATAGTGCAAGTATAGGCTTTTCAGTGCATCACTCCATAAGTGTTCCTGAACTCTGTGGCCAAGGGCAAGGAGCCGCAGCAAAGTACAATACTGCAAAGCTTGCTGAATACCTTTAACATAGCTGTCCAGTCAACACAGAGGAAATAATTCAGACCTACAGGGCAACATAGCTATTTATGTGTCGGTTTTGTCCAGTGTAAATGCAAATCGAAGCGTAACATCTTCACGTCAACACAACTATGATCTGAACCCAGCTGTAAATCCCTCAAATAATGTTTTTGCCTCAATCCAGCGGAACCAGAGTGCTTTCATTTCCAAATGTTAGTGTTGACTGTTTGGATTTCACAAATGCAACAAAGAGGGCTTAAGCAGAAATGATGACTGCTACAAAAACACACACACAGAGACGTGCCAGGAGGACTGAATAATATCAGGGGGTTGATGCGTTTTTTAGAATATGCTCCATTGAATGGCACCATTTCAGAACAGAAGTGGGGACAGCCTTTGGCAAAATCTGCTGAGTCAATTGAAGAATTGTTTCTCTCTGAAAGATTTATTTTTACAAACTGTGTGACGCTCTTATGCTGCTTGGATATACAGTGAATGTTGCAAATGTGCTCTTTTCATTCATGAGTGTGCTGTAAGTGAATATCATCAGAATACTGTGCAGGAATTAAAATGCTGTTAGGCAATTAGATGAAATGGCTTATACTTAAGGCAAAGTCTACAAAAATGTCCAGCTCCTGCATTTTCATTTCTTCAGGGTGCTGCAGGAATGACAGGCTGGCATTTCAATATAATTTCGAGAGTAATTTGGGGATTTTGTGAGTTTTAAAAGAAAATCCACATGGGGGTATTTGTGTCTCATCTAACTGTGAGGGTAAGTTTTGACAGTTTTAGCTTGCAAATATTACAATTTTTAAAGGCTTTAAGATTCAGAATCTACTTTTGTATTCATTTAATTAGACAGAATCTGACTGGGACCCTCTCACGTTGTTGTTTGTTGTCCCTTCAAAGTGTAACTGCTCAACTATTATGCTGGAAAGCCAATCCTATCAGCCAACATCTACTTTTAGCTTCAGCAACCTTGAGGCACGGTGTCTGTACTATCATTCAACATTAAACTGTGATATTGATCGACACATGCAGAGAAGAAATGTATTTGTTCACAACTACAAATCCAGTTATACTAATAGTGATAAAATGTAAAAGATGGTGAGCTGAGACAACTTGTGGTAATCATGTCTCTGCCTCCCTTGCAGCCAATCCCACCGGTGCTGGACCAAAGGGTTACCCAGGCACGTCGGAGGTCTTCCGGGAGTCCAGCAGCACGACAGGGATGGTGGTTGGCATCGTGGCAGCGGCGGCGCTGTGTATTCTCATCCTGCTTTACGCTATGTACAAATACCGGAACAGAGACGAAGGTTCGTACCACGTAGACGAGAGTCGCAACTACATCAGCAACTCCGCGCAGTCCAACGGCAGCATCGTCAAAGAGAAACCGGTGAACACCGCAAAAACCTCAAGCAAGAGTAAGAAGAACAAGGACAAGGAGTACTACGTGTGATTGTCAAAGCTTCGGTCTTTGCTAGACCAACTTAAACATTTGTGGAAGAGACAAATCAGGACTTCAACATGTGTATAGTATAATAACAAAGATGAACATTATTTAGTCATTTTTCCTACAAGACAATGCTCTGAAAAGTAAATATGAAAAGCGAAAAAAATAACTTTCTTTAGACTCAAGCACTTGAGACAGTTGAAAAGATTCAGTCCAGATGGAGACTGATAGAAAATGGCTCTGGCGACCAGTCAAAAATGAACTGAATACATATCTAACATGACAACCAAACAACATTAACCCATCTGTGACTTGATTCCTTGGCCAGGATTATGTGATTGAACTCCCTTGTTTCTGGTAAACAGAGGAGCTGATGCACTTTGCAAAGGGAAAATCAGCATTACAAACTTACTGTTTTCATATACATTGCCTGTGTTTGTGTTGATGAGACTTTTTCTAGAGGAAATGACACAATGCATAAATAGATACATGGATAAATATGCCAAACATTTACTGTGGATTTAAAAAAAAATAAAAAATATCAGGTGACGTTGAAGTCGGAGAGAGAAAAAAAATACCCTGATGGATGTCCGAGGAATCAGCCAAAGTACTCACTTAAGAGGCGGTGATGGCCGGCAAAGACTAATACCTGGCTGACTGAGCTGCTGCAGTACAAAGATGAGAATGGATGGCAGTTTCTCTTGAAAGACTATGTTTTAAAAGAATATGTCAGTTGTGCCAGTAAGAAATCTGGAGACCTTCGTTTTCACATCGTGTGAACTCAAAGGAGAGTTTCCTCAGAATCATGGGGATTGCTCTAAAGTGATAATTTGGGAGCCATGCACGCACAATTATCTTATTACAGTACATATGTTTATATACAGTACAACCACATCTATATGTGCTTTCTGGACTGTGACAAAGTGGTGTTTTATAGCCTGTTGTATAGATGATGCAAACTATAACTGCTCCTCAACCATTTTGGAATAAAATGAAAAAAGGACAAAAAGAAGACATAAGTGTTATTAAGTGTTGCTAGACATAGAAGATTTTATGAAAACATCTGCGTTTTTCTCAGTTGGATAATAATTTGATTCTCCCCTGTTTTTTTTTTACATGTGTTCCGATATAGTTTTTATACAGATGCCAATCCGAGATAGATGATTCCGGACCAGTAGTAGCCTAACCCTTCCCCAAAAACTTCACAAGGCGTTGATAGGCGGAGAGGCGTGGCATGACAACTTGTGTGGCGCTCTTTTAAGGATACCGGTAGAATCACTGCCTTCCTCCTCAATCCTGACTTACATGAGTGAGAATGAACACCAGGAACATGAGTGTTGATGATGATGATGATGATGATGACAATGATTAAAATAAATAAACTTGCTGTGTGTGTTTCCAAGTGGTATTATAAGATTGTCTAATGTGTGCTTGGGCTGATGCAAAACCGGAGGAGAATAGCTCAAAATAAGTCTCCATTTCAACTGTTCTGTGTTTGTTCTGTCATTCTGTCAGTCAATTCTGCTTTCCGGTACTGTACTTGGAATGAGTATGAGGAAAATGACCATGAACTATAAATAATGATTATAAATTCTATTTGTTTGCTCTTCTTTTTTTTGTTCTTGGGTGTTTTGTGTTCAACTGTAACACTTCTTGTACTCCACAAAAAATTTATTATAAAAACTAGTTTTGAAGACTCCAATGAATAAAATACTACCTAAGTGAACTTACACCAGTTTACTGACAAAATGTATCAGAGAAACACGCAGGTGTTAGGATTTTCATTTTGTCAGACGTCCTTTACTTCGTTAAGAGTAATCCACCGCTTTAGCATTGCACTTCAATAACACTGTCTGACCAACAATGAACAGTTTGAAAGAAAGGACCTTTCTAATTTCACGCATTATTCTTCCCTTTCAAAACCAGGGGGACTACATTACCCACAATCGGGGGTGGAATTTCGATTTCAAAAATGGGGGCTCAGTTATTAGTACAAGCACAAATCCTCAAAAAGAACAAAATGTGTGTTTATTATATATCTAGAGCATATGGTTTTGAAATACAAAGTCGTCACTTCATACAGACATCTTTTTATAGGCAAGTTTGTTTTACTTAAGGTTCTTTATGATAGTATGTTGGCACAATGCTTTAATATGACTTATATTATAAAAACAGGCCATCACATTGATTTATAAACTTGTCATAAAAGTCATGGTATAGTAAGTCGAAAAAAGTCATAGTATACTATGTCTAAAAAAACTCACAATATAGTTTGTTGAAAAAAGTCATAGTACAGCATTTCAGGAAAAACTATATAAAAGTAATACTATTGTGTGTAAAAAAAAAGAAAAACTCACTATTGTGTGTCAAAAAAGTCATAAAAGAGTAATTGTATAGTAAGTTGAAAAACGTTTATGAAAATGAATGGTATGGCAAGTTGAAATACAGTATAGTATACTATGTCTAAAAAAACTGACAGCATAGTTGTCGAAAGTCAAGGTAAATAATGTCGAAAAAGTCACAGTATAGCATTTCGTAAAAAGTCATATGAAAGTCATAGTATAGTATGTCAAAATAAGTCATATTATAGGATGGTGAAAAAAGTAATTTGATTTAAAAGAGCGTGATTAAAAAAGTCAGTTTCGTTTGTTGAAAAAACAATAGTATAGTTGAAAAAACTAATAAAAAGTGTCATAAAAACAGTCATAGTAATGTAAGTCAAAAAGCCATTGTATAGTATATCAAATTTTGTTTTTAAAGTAAACAAATATAATGTCAAAAATACTCATATTAAAGTATGTATAACAATGTCTAGTATATTAGTATAGTATATTATTATTATTGAAATAAATGATTAAAAGGCAAAGTATAGCATCTTGATAAAAGTTAATGTGTAGCATGTCAATAATATCATAAAAAGTCTTAGTATATAATGTTAAAAGAATGTAATGGTATAGCATGTTGAAAAAATCATTGTATGATGCATCAAAAAAACTCAAAGTCGTATTACAGTAGGTAAAAAGAAATTCATGGTTTAGCATGCCGAAAAAGTCCTCAAAGATTCGTAGTGTAGCATGTCAAAAAAAGTTGTAAAATAGTCTCAGTAAAGCATGTCGAAAACCGTCATGAAAAGGTTATAGTATAGCATGTTGAAAAATTCATCAAAAATGTCATCGAGTAGACAAAAGATATCCTACCGCAGAGCTTCAGCACAGAGATGTTGTCTCAGTTGGTCCATATAATGTTCCTCTTCTTTCCAGATGTCATGCTTTGAGGCTTCATATCTACAAGTATGTGGCAAAACAAAGCATACATCTGACAGTTCAAGTGAAAATCATACAACAAGAACACTTACAGAATCATGGCAACATTTTACAATTTATAGATGCCTTGCAGCTCAACATTGCCAAACATTCGTTGGCCGCTGCAATACTGGATTTCAGGTTCAATCCCACTCTCAGACTTGACCATACTTTCTTTCTGCAGGTGGATGAGACTCAAATATCTAATTTTATAAACTATGTTACCTAAAGAAGGAAACAGACGTGGAAAAATATTTTCAGTTAAGAGGGCAGAGTGGACACCAACCTGCCCAGCGAGCATTTTTCAGTTGAAAAGACGACTATGGCCATCGGTGAAAAAACGGTCAAAATTGGTTCAAAAGTGAAGGTTTTTTCACTGACTATTTGAAGACATTGATTGAACGTTCACATTTAGACCATATTTCACTGGGCTTTTACACACTGGGGGGCGTGACCATTAAATGACACAAAAATGCAAAATACTTGCATTTGAATATTATATGTATCGGGCTTTCATTGTGAAAGGTAAGTGAGGAAAAATTGGATCTGGTTGAGAGAAGTAATAAAGTTTGCCGTCGTGATTCTTACAATGGAGCCTCAGTGTTGTTTGTATAAAAATAGGTGCAACGTTCTGCATACGCCGCTTTGGTTGATGCTTTAATTTACAGTGAGAAAGCTCAGAAAAATGTGCCTCCTTCCTACTTATTCACCGTGTAATATTTGTGTCCTGCGTGAATGTTTTCATGACAAAAGCAACTGTTAAACATATATATTGTTGACATTTATATCTTAATTACCTATTAAAAACCAATAACGTTAAAAGGTAACTTAGATATAAATGTCACGAGATGAAAAGTCAAGCAGTCTCCGAGGATATCAGTGGGAGGAAAAGCTCTGGAAAGACTCCATAAGGATCACATCCAATTGTCGACATTTTATCTGCATATCTCTTCTGTTCTTTGCAATCCAAATGAGTGACGGTGATTATGTACCCACGTGTGTAACATCGGTAACCAACAGGGGTAGCGACAACGACAGACATGGTTGTGAAGTGATTGCAAGGCATCTAGACTGGATATGTACTGCAGATATTCCTAATTAAAGTCTTCCTAGTCAGAATAGAAATGTCAGATACCCACAGTGATATTGTTCCTATCTGCAATTGTAATTTCAGATATCCATGCTTCCTATGAAAAATGACGACAATTTTTCCATTCAAGTGTATTGTGCTTTCAATGTCACATATTCAAAATTGCATTTTTCATATTTAGAATTAACATTCTGAATATCTTCAATTCAATTATTACGACAATAAACTCTGTGGTGAGCTTTGGTGGAGTGACATTTGACTTTAACTGTTTCATGTCTTGTTTTGTATCATTTTGACTCTTAGATCCATTCATGTAGTGTGTGATTTATAGCAGGCTAGATGCTGAAAAAAAGATAATCCAGATGATGTGTCACATTCATAGAAGATTCAGTGATAATTCCTAAAGTTTTTTAACAGGCTATCAACAGGTGTACCATCTGAAATCTTAAAATATGGCATTTATTTATCCTTATGACTTTGGTAAAATTAAGAATGTATGGAATACATAAAAAATGCAAAAAAACAACAAATGCTGGTTTGATGAAATGATTCGGGCATTTTTAAGCATTTTGAGTTGGATTAAAACCCTTGCAGCAAACAGATGGAACCTCAAGAGAGTCCACACAACTGTCACAGCTCTTCATCAGCTGCTCAAGCAGCATTTTTTATGTGTACTGTGTGATATGTTGCTGATCTCCATATGGAAAATCCTCATTTCAGTCGGCTGACGCTTGCTCAAGGACGCATCAGCAGGGTAGGTGCTTGCAAACACAACATCACACATTAGGCCGCATTCAAACTAAAATAGCACCGTGTTAAAAACAGGGGCTACGCTGTTGTGATGCTCTCAGTACAGGTGAGAAAATGAAATAGAATACAGGAAGTCTGCTTTAAAGTCCCTGAAAATGTGACAAAAATGAAGACCATCCTTAGGTGTTCTTTATCAACATATTCAAAAAACTGCTTTTCTGCTTCATAAAGACTATCTGGAGGTTTATGAGGTCTGATTCAAATGATCGGTGCACACGTGCTCATGGCGTCACCTTTTTTTATACACACAGCACAGACAAAAAAAAAACAATAGATACCTCTCATGTGACGTAACCAAGACGTTTACAGGCCTTTAAGTAACACATCACATATCACGTAAGTGTGAGACGGGAATCTACCACTGAATAGTTGTCATGGCGACAGTCATTTATTCCTCTGTGTTGACATTTGTAGAGTAAAAAATACTTTTTTTTTTTTAATCTAACAGGAATGTCTGCTTTTACATGAACAATTGGCCAATGCAGTCTGATGCTAGATGACTTTGCACGGCATTGCGGCTAAAGTGAAGCTGGGTTGAACTTGTTTGCATGTTTGAGTGCTCTTCATCGGGATCCCTGCGGTGTCAATGCAGTGGTTTGGAGAAATGAACAAGGAATAGTGTTGTTGCCCTACCGAAAGCCTTACGTATAACAGCGACCTAGGACATGTGCAAACACAATGGCAAAATGCCGATCTTGCTCGGCTGACTGTCAGGATGTAGACGCACGCTAATTAGATGTTCTGCTTGTACGGATGCACGTTCTGACACTTCATCACAATTTGTTATTGCAATATTATATTATTATTATTATATCTTTTGCAGGATAAACCACTGTCAATTTCATGTCGGCTAAAATATTGCTTTTGTTTTGCAGCAGAAACTCGCTCAGACTGATTACGTGTACATGAGACTTTATTTTTATTATGTTGAATGATTATTTCTGTCACTGTCAGATGTCCTCATGGGAACAGTTTAATCTCAATTATTACACTCAGTGCTGTAGAAACACTTAAATTAAGTTTCAGTTTGGGTTAGGACATATGACAAAAGAGTACTGTACAGTATGATAGAATAAAGGACAAGACAGGACAGGAGAGGACATATCGTAGGTCGGACGAGGATCTGAAGAGTAGAATGAGCACGTTACATTAATACAGAGTGCAGTAAAAAGAGGAAGAAAGGCAGGTAGTTTGCTGCAAATGTGAACGATAGAAGGAAAAGCATTCCATATTTAAAGTAAGGATAAACTGGATTACCAGTATTCAGAGCAAATGCGTCAACCACAACGAGTTGTCAACTCTGTTCAATAATGCCGTTATAATAGGAGTGCTTGTTAGGTACAATGAGCACAGGAGGGACTAAATGTTTCAGCCTGCTAATACTCAAACATCATTTTTAACCCAATTATTCCATCAAACAAAGTGAAATGGTGATAAGGATTTGTGATCTGATCACAGGCCAGAAGAAGATGAAGTCCAGGATGATATGGAACTGGCACATATTGTAGCCAAAACTATTTAAAAAGTA